TCATGCAGTTGAGATTGATGAAATACATGGCTTTGGCAAATCCTGATTTTTCACTTCACTTTCAAAATATTATCATATGGTGCAGAATGCTTTCCTGTTTCTATTTTGTGACAATAGAAAAAATAGTTCTCTCTTTTTAGTTTTAAAGCGGGGGAGTCGTCACCTGCGCATGCGTCAGATGGCCATAGCGTGTCATTGTTTACAAACAAGCGCCTACCCATGAGTCTTTGCGTGTTTAGCATGCGTTGTTATCGTCGCTTGGGTCTCAATTCCTGCGCGTGCGCAGGGACGACCCCTCCGCTTTAAATCGTAGATTTAATGCTACAGTGAACGAATGTAAGTGTAACATTCCGCTCTGTCAGAAAACATATGAAAGCTGGGTATTCCACGGAAATGACGTTTATTGAACTGTGGAAGGATATACATTGGCGATCCAATCACAGCTACTAGTCCAGCGGTCTTTGCGGGGAGTATCACATTATTATGCATTATTATGGAGTACATTTATTTATATAGCTTTTTTTTATTTTCATTATTAATACATAATAATCAAATAAAAAGTAATGTTCATAAATAATCCGACTATATATTATATCTTTATTTTCACTTAATTATTTATAAATAATTTTAAACTTTCATTACTTAAACCATATTCGATTAGGTTTCGAGATATGTTTAGGCTTATCAACGGATGAAAGATGAGTTCAAATCTATAAAAAAAATCGGTTTGGCAGCAATTATTTACAAACTCTATTTTATATTCATGGGATTTATATACAAACAATAGTGTATCGTATATAATCAGAACGATATTTACATATCATGCAGAAAGAATTATAAATAAATAAATAAATAAATAAATAAATAAATAAATAAATAAATAAATAAATAAATAAATAAATAAATAAATAAATAAATAAATAAATAAATAAATAAATAAATAAATAAATAAATAAATAAATACCATTGTGTTTAAGTGAGCTTGTTATTTGTAAATAATAATGTGTGCATTTCCTATTCATATCTAAACAGATTATAATAATTGCATTCAATGTAAATAACGAAGCGAGGCATCAAAGTGTATAAATATCCCCGGTAAGTACGGCCCGGAGATAAGTATATCAAATCATTGACGTTGATGGCGCTTTTACGATTTATATAATTTGAGGGTCTCAACAATTTTATTAAATAAATACGACATGCCTGTATGGCATACAAATAATATGGATTGCAAGTCCGATAAATTATAATAACTTAACGGCAATTGAGATTGAGAAACTAATGGCTCCTGAAAATGTAACAATCTCCTGTCCTCGGCTTTAGGAAAAGGTGAACAATCATCTCATATCAACTCAATTAACTCCCTATTTTTTTTGAGGGGTTAAATCTGAATAAATGAAACTAGTGGGAATGCAGCATCATGGCGGATTGTCCGAAT